TGTGTATTTTTTCCTCACCTGTAGCTGGAGAAAAATAAATGCTAATGAATTAAAATATTTTTAAGTTTCTCTAATTCTCAAAAGATATATAAAATACTTGGAGGCAAGACAAACACATCCAGAACTAGAGGAAACAAGACAAGGTAGGCAAAATTGTGTGTTGCTGCTTGTAGACATTTCCTGAATGATAAGGAAAGAAAAATTAGCAAAGACTGGGGTAAAGAGGCCTTAATGGAATACTCCTAAAGAGATCAGTGTAAGAAATCCCAGGATTAAGGAAATAAATTAGGATACTATAAATTCAATGGGGAAGAGTCATGGTCAATACAGTTTCCTAAAGCTTTTTCTGAGTGGTATCCTGCTCAGCCTGAGTCCTATGGTAAACAAACACTTCCCAGAGCCACTTGTGTAGCCAGGGTCCAGGCTGACAACAAATCAGTATAAACTCTGGAGTCTAAGTAATAGCTCTGACTCCCAGATTCAGCTGTTTTGTTTATCTGGTCAAGTTAAAAGTGCATATTAAGCATCAACTATGCATAGAGTGCATCAGTAACCATTATCTATGCCAGAGTTCAAATAAAAGTTAATACGTGTGGATTTGAAAATTTGATCAATTTTTTTTCTCAATAAATATGTATTGAGTATCTAGTATGTTTCAAGAAGACTCTGTAAGCTCCTTGAAAGCAAGGTGCCATACCTGTCTTGGTCATTGCTGTATCCCAGAATTTCGCTAGTTTGTTGACTGATACATGACAGGCATTCAATGAATAAAGTTTGAGAGATGACAAGAGACAGACTTGGGAGATAGATGTACATAAAGGCACATAAAAATAATAATGCAATATTGTAAATGCTATAGACTATGGACAAATTATGGAATGATCTAAAAAGAAATTAACTCCAGTTGGAGAAACTGTGAGAATGTCATGGAAGAAGGAGTATCTGTGAAGTGAGACTTGAATGATGGGTAGGAATTTTATTATAAACCAGGAGCAGAAAATGTACAGTCTGTACAGTCTGTTAGGAGCACAAAATGAACCCGGAAGTCAACATCCATGAGAGAGGCAGACTGGGTTGGGGGGTGAGGAACCCATCAGCAGAAGCCCCACCTCATGGGAGCAGTCACTCAGCTGGTGCTACTTATTGTTACATGGCATTGAGGAGTCTAGGTGGCCAGAATGACCAAGTTTCCAACAGAAGCCAGAAATCTGGACTGTTCTGTGAGATCTCTGTTTTATTATTTCAATTAATTAATATTAAGAGATTTATGCTGGCCTCATGTTGTACTTTTATTGTTACATCTTGGATAAACTAAGTTCTCCCCATTGAAGAGTTAATCTGCTCCTCACTTCAGGATTAATAGATATTCATTGAAATAATTCCTCTTGTATCATTATCTACATTTATTAATATATAAATTGCATGTTAAAAGAGTAAGCTTAAATTTGGCATCTTCTATTTTGAATGACCCTGTAAGATAAGAATTATTAGTTAACATTTTGCATTTTTGCCCTTTAAGAAAGGTTAACCATAATATTTTAAGCCTCAGTCTGCTTTTTAAACAGAACTTTGTCTTAAAACTTTTCAGAATTTAAATTTACTTGCATTTTAGGAAGTTCTTTAATAAGCCGTTGTATAACATAGGGATCAGTAAGTGAAGAGTATATGTTAGACAAGGAGGGGCTTTCCAAAATATGATAAATAACATAAAATCTTTTAACCTTGTGTTTTGTGCACAAAGGCACCTTTAAGGGTGTCTCCAGTAAGTGCTATATTAACACAGAAGTTTAGTTAATTACAGCCACTATTCTCACGTACCTTAACCAAGTGTGAATACCAAGCAATCTCATAGTGTGCCCCTGAGCATTAATACCTAATGAAATTGGATTCCTTGTTTCCTCTAATGAGCTCATTGCTTTTCTAAATATGGTCATTGCAGGTAAATGATCAATAGCCTTGAAAATGACACCACTGTTGGATTATTTTGCCAAGAGACTCTTTTTCAGTGTAAAATGAGTATTCTCACATCTATATTTCAGGTTCCTTCCTAAGTAAGCTCATGTATAACAAAAAATACCACAATGGGCTTGTTTATTTGTTTGTTTTAGTGTCTATTAGCAGGAACTATGGACAATCACTGTCTGATTGTAGACTTCAAATCCACACAACCTAGCTCGAGTTGGAACAAACTGGATGCAGTATGTTCCTGTTAATTGAGAGACTGAATGGCAATAAGCTATGAGAAGGTCTGTTTTCTATAATAGTTTGCACCAATAATCTCTACTGTATTCATTTCCTAGGGCTGCCATAACAAATTACCAAAATTTGGTGGCTTAACACAAGAAAAATTCTCTTGAAGTTCTGGAGGCCTAAGGTTTGAAATCAAGGTCTTGACAGGCCACACTCCTTCTGAAGGTTCTATGGGAGAATCCATCCCTTGCGTCTTCCAGCTTCTAGTGGCTATTGGCATTCCTTGATTTATGGCCACATCACTTCAATCTCTGCCTCTGTGGTCACATCACCTTCTGCTCTACGTGTCTTTCACCAAGACACTTGTCTTCAGATTTGGGGCCCACCTTAATAATCCAAGGTCTCCTTAGCTCAATATCCTTAGCTTTATAACATATGCAAAGTCCCTTTTTCCAAATAAGGTCACATCCATAGGTTCTGGGGCTTAGGACATGGACATCTTTTGAGGGGCCATCATTCAACCCATTATGTCTACCTTTCTTCTGTTATATTACAGTTAGTCATGTTGAACACAGACACTACTGAGGTTGTTATGATGTTTCAGTACTTTACTAAGATCATTTATGAGCAAATCATTTATATCATGTGTTTGTAATTTTAAATTCTTCTAACTCTCCTTGCACCATCTCCTTTATACCAATACGATTGAGGCTCAAAAAAGGTAAGATCTTGCCCAAGGATACAACACACCTAATAATAAGTATCAACTTAGATTTAAAGTCTGTACTTTTTTAACGTAACTTAAATCACATCCACATCTAACTTGAGATGTCCACGTCCTTATTTAGAAACTGATAAATTGATAAGTCAGATTTCACAAAGTAGACCTTCTCAGTTAAATTTCTGGTCCCTGTGATTCCTTAGGCAGATAATATTCCCAAATTCCAAAACATCTCTTCATATGTAACCTTAGGAAGAGTAAGCCAAAGTGAGGCTCTGTAGACTAGTAGCCACACGATGATATTAAAGTTAGGGCTGAACCCGTCCCTCAAAGCTGTCTTCCAATTTCCAATGCTAGCCTGAAATGGATTTAGAATTTTTTTAAGTGGGTTTTAAGTATCCTGCAGTGCCACACAGACTGCTGTATTGGAGTCCTATCTCCTCCACTTACTCACTAGGAAAGTTACTTTCTTGGGTTTATCACTTACCTTTCCTAGGTCTCATTCTCCTTATTTGTAAGATAACTGATAATAATTGATATCTCACAAGATCCTTTAAGAAATAACTGAGATTATAATATCCTTAAATAGTAACTGCTTCATAGTATAGACTTGATGTAGATTTTTAAAATTATTACCAATTAGGAATATTTTATATGTAAAGTGATAATGGAAGCACAACGTTGAAATTTGTGGTGGAGTGGCAAGTGGTACAGTTGTATTTGGCTCACAACAAAGCTTCGAGGCAGAATGTGGGGCAGAGAGTTTCAAAGCACAAATATTCTCAGATATGGTTTGCTTTTGCATATCAAAGTGTTTTATGTTCCTTCCTTTCTTCTTCACACCAGTTATGATCTCCCAGCTTTTTCATTTCTCTTCCCGCTTTATTTATTCTTTCTTTAAGGAAAAATTTAAGTTTTTATTTTCCAAGATAATTCTTGGTTAAATTTTACTGAACTATTCCCAGAATTCCTAGGTAATGTGAATCTGTAATTGAGTCAAGACAAACAGTCATATTAGCTCTGCTCCATATGCATGAGCTGTGTCAAGAATATTTGAAACTATTTTCTGTTGGCATGTTTACAGTTTTAAGAAATCTATTGTGACTTGCAGCTTATAGAAAAAGTAGGGAAAGGCTCAGGTCACTGGTATCTTTTAACTCTAGGTGGACACTTAGAATCACCTGCACAGAGTTTCTAAGGAAGAATGGTTTACAGCCATCAGGTTGAATGCAGTTAAGGCTCAGTTTGCTCCTATCCATATCATAGCTTAAATCCTTGTAGTATGTCAATGGGGCAAGGAGGAAGAAGTTGTGCATCTTTAGATTTCATGTATTGTTTTCCTTAGTTGTAGCTTTCTTTGGCAATTATTGTGAGTTCATGAACCTCGTATATAATAACAGTTTTCTTCATGGAATTCATTGTTTATGATGGGCAAAAATTAGTGTACATTCTTTTTTTTTTATTTATTTATGATAGTCATACAGAATGAGAGAGAGAGAGGCAGAGACATAGGCAGAGGGAGAAGCAGGCTCCATGCACCGGGAGCCCGACATGGGATTCGATCCCGGGTCTCCAGGATCGCGCCCTGGGCCAAAGGCAGGCGCCAAACCGCTGCGCCACCCAGGGATCCCCTTAATGTACATTCTTAGCAGACTCAGGATGTCAACAGTTAGCATCCATTGCTACGTGATTTTTTAATTTTTTTTCTCTTTTTTGATGATCAAATGTCAGCACAGGAAAGCGAAATGAATTGCCTCCATGTAAAACTACGACTCCATGATGGAACCAGCCATAACCATTCGCATATACGTAATTGTGATTTTACCTATGTTAGGTACCACTCCTTCCTACCCCCTGCCCCCCATCAGGAAGTGAATTCATTTCCTGGTGGAGAAAGCCTTCAGTTGTTAGTGCTTAAGGGAAAATATTCTAAAATGCATTGTGTTTGTTGCAAATGAAATTCTGGTCACGCTTACAACCACTGTACTTTACTATCAAAAGCACAACAGTCAAAGATTTCCTTTGATCGAGGGGAACTGAAGTGTGTCTGCGTTGAGTTGTTTCACACAGTGTCTTCTCCAACATCTAGGTGAGCACAAAATGCCGAGGCCTCTGGTGGGAGTGTGTCACGAATGCTTTTGATGGGATTCGCACCTGTGATGAGTACGATTCTATACTTGCCGAACACCCCCGTATGTATACCTTAGATGACACCTTGCCAGGGAGGGGCTACCAAGCAACGCTGAACTTGGGTTTCCATTGTGTGTTTTTGTTTTGTTTTGTTTTAAGGATTTTACTTATTTGAGAGAGAGAGAGATAGCAAGAGATAGCATGAGCAGAGGGGAGAGGGAGAAGCAGGCTCCGCACTGAGCTGGGACCCCCAGGTGGGCCCGACCTCAGGACCCCAGGATCATGACCTGAGCTGAAGGCAGACAACCGACTGAGCCACCCAGGCACCCCTGTGTGTGTTTTTTTCTACATTACTATTGTCTAGTTGTGTCTAATTTTAAATATGTTTCCATTAGAAATTTATTTTGGAAACGTGAATTGAAACGTTTTGAGCTCATTTTATCATGTTCCATGTATTTATACATTCCTTAAGGGTAAAAATATAATTTATTCATCTCTGCTCCCCCAAAGAGCCTGGAAGAGCATCTTACACACAGTAGACTTAAACATTTTTTAAATTGAAATGAATTCTTCAGGGTGCTGTGATTCAAGGATTAGAATAGACAGATTAGACGAAAAGTATTTCAGAGATGTCTTTTAGCTGTGACATAAGTCAAATCGATTTACAGTAATTCAACTGGAGGTTTGCTGAGAAAGAGAGAAGGTGGAAGTAGATGGGCAGAGGCAGACAGAAAAACACATGGAGATAGGTAGGCAAAGACAGACACACAGACAGGGATTAGGGAATGAAGAAAATCTGTGTAGGTGATGACACATGGTTTGCAGGGATGGTAAAGCCAGCTCCATCGTCTTCCTGACCTTTAGGCTTAAATTTTAGAGGTGTTAGCAAGGCCCATGTTTCCATGAATAAAGAGATTTCATAGGTTAAAAAAAGTTATTATTGATTCTCTCAGTTTTTTTCCATAGCATTTATTTATTTATTTAGAACATCCAATCATGCCAAGAAATACCGGTTCTGTTGTTAAAGCTAATTGGTTTTGGTCTCTTTCAAAGCCGATGATGGGGTGCAGTAGGGAACAGCAACTTCTTTTCTCAAGATAGATGAAAAGCAAACCCTCGGAATGTGACTTTTCCCCTGGACAGCTATTTCAGTCCAGGGATAAGCACTTAAAAGGAGCAGTGGTCTAAAACATCCGCTATTCAGGATTTGAGTGTTTTTTAACTTAATTCCTAAGGCCCATATTTCATTTTTTCTAAGGCCTCTTAATTCTTTCTCTTTTTCCCTCCTTATGCTAACCTAATTCTACCTACAAAGAAGCATGATTTGGTCAGTAGGAATGTAAATTTATGTGGACACTAGACTATTCCAGAAATGTAGTGTGATGATGAGAGTGGAGGAAAAAAAAGATAAAATAATTCAAACTTCTAAATACTGTTATGTACATTTATCCAAGAATAACAGAAAAGAAAATCTCCCAGAAGCTTACTGCACAGAGAAAATTGCTGTTTATATTTTAATATTTCTTTTTTAATCATTTGCCTATATGGTCTCACATTTTAAAATCTATTCTTACCTATTAATTTCAAACACTATCCTAAAGATTCATTACTTTTATTTTAAAAATTCTATCCTATGTTTAGAGACAACAGAGATGAAAATGCATTCTAAGAAAATGACATAATTATACCCTCTAAGTTAGCATATTACTTATGACATTTTATTTTTAGTCTTTGATATCTTTTATAGAATCACAATTAGATAACCTTTTCCATGGTCCTATAGACCTAGGGTATACAGACTCAGACAATTTTTTTTAGGACTCTTGTTGAATAACCCCTCCCCAAATCAGAATATTTAACATTATTCTAGCAGCCAGATCTCAGATAATCCCCAATAAGAAATTCCCAGAAAGAAATTCCTGACTGGTTAGCGTTAGCCATCTCCCTGCAGAGCTGCCGTCTTGGATCCGGGCTGGACATGGGGTTGATTGATTGACGCCATAGACATGACTCCAAGGGTCCTACAGAGCATCAGAAATCATACTCTGGGGGTCCCTGGATGGCTCAGTCAGTTAAAGGTTGGATCCTTGGTGTAGGCTCAGGTCTTGAACTTAGGGTGGTGAGACTGAGCCTCACATTAGGCTCTAAGCCCAGTGAGGAGTCTGTTCAAGTTTCTCTGTCCCTCTTCTTCGTTCTCTCTCTCTCAAACAAATAAATATATAAATCTTAAAAAAAAAATCACACTCCATGTGGTAGTGAGGGTTGGAGAGGGGAAATGATATTAAGGCATCCCATTCAGGTTGAAATTCTGGCCTTGTTTGACACAGGTTCCAAAAGGGGACTTAAAAATATTTAAGGAAGGCACTCCAAATTGAGATACTTCTTGGCTTGGGCTGCTGAGTTGGAGACCCGCTTGAATATGTTACTTGAGGTTCAAGAAGATTGTTGAAATGTGAAAACTGATACCACTTAGTTACACATTTTTCTCCTTCCTGAATTTTGAGAAAAATGGATGTCAGATTTGGCCTAAATTAGAAAGCTAAGTCTAAGTATTTTGAAATAATGCCACATTTTAAGATCTTAAATAATCACCTATTGATTAGGTAGAATGTGGGGTGCTGGGTGGCTCAGTCAGGTAAGTGATCAACTCTTGATCTCAGCTCAGGTCTTGATCCCAGGGTTGTGAGTTCAAGCCCCATGTTGGGCTCTACAATGGGCATGAAGCCTACTTAAAAAAAAAAAAATCAGAAGCTGATTTTATGCATTGATTTACTCTCTTAAATGGATTATAGAAGTGCTTTTTTATTTAAATAAATTGGCCACATTTTACAAGAAAAATATTACTAAATAAGCCCTAAGTGTATCTCACCATTGAGGAAAAATTATTTAAAATACAAGGAGACCCCAATCACTATGAAAATAAAACAAAGAAAATACTGTATCATTAGGTGGCTAAAATAAAAGTAGCATTGACATCAGATAATAATTAACCCTCCATTTGAAACAAAATTTTCCTATTTTTAATTTAGCATAACTGGAATTCATAGCTCAAGAGGTTTTCATAGTTGAGAATGCTTCCACTGCAGAGAGTGATTGTTACTATTTCATTTTGTTTACCTGATACCTTCTTCCTTGGACCTTCTACCATATATTCCCATATGGCTATGGTTTTCAGTTTTGCTCAGTTGACAGTGCAAGGTTAAAGGGTTAATATGGAATGTTGGCCAAGAGTCACCACCTAAGCAATGAAAGAGAATATGATCTGGTTTCTGCACATAGTTTTCTACTATATAACAGAAGTTCCTTCTCCTTCTAAAAACCTGCTAATGGCTCCCACCAGCCTGAATTGGCAAGTGACATCTTGAAATATTTTATCCTACTCCTCGATACCAAATTTTAACCAGTTATAATAAATATATTTTTCAATAGAACTTCAAACAAATGTAGTGATCGTTAAGTTCTTAAATGTTTATTGGAATAAGTTCTGCAGAATAGATATTCTACTTTCAATTCAATATTCACCTATAATACTTGTGAACAAGATTTATTCCCAAACAGAAAACAAACAAGGAAACAGTTACCTAGTCCTCACTATATGCCAGGCATTTTCCTGGGGGGGGGGGGCCATCAAGACTAAGTAATAATTCGTGCTTAAACAACTAATCATATCAATAATCATCTCATGATATTTTTGCATTTTATGAAAACATTCCACAGTCACACAAATTTGAAGTCTAATTCTTTCAGTGGGCATATATTAATATATATGAGTATCTGTTTTGGGGTGTACCTCTGTACCTTAACATGTTTCCTTCCTCTGACCATGATGTAACCACATGCCCTGATCTTCCAGTGAAGCTGGTGGTAACTCGGGCATTGATGATTACTGCAGATATTCTAGCTGGATTTGGATTCATCACCCTGCTTCTTGGTCTCGACTGTGTGAAATTCCTCCCTGATGAGCCATACATCAAAGTCCGCATCTGCTTTGTTGCTGGAACCATGTTACTAATAGCAGGTACTCTCTGCACTAGTGATGGGGGTAGGGATGCTCATCTGTGATCCTGAGATGAAGAGAAGGGTGCTTGTTGTCAAGAAGTTCATTTTAGGAACATATGTGACTTGTTTTTCTAGTTTGAAGGACCAAAGAGCACATCCACCAACCTTACTTTCTTCAGCTGTGGAATCAGATAATTGATTTTTGATAATATCCCAGATCAAAGTTTATTGAAGTCCTCAAACTACTTTTTAAAAAAGTATATAATGCTTTAAAATTTTCAAATAATTTTTTTTTATTATTCACGAAGTTAAGTCCTAAAGTAAGTCCCAAACCACCACTTCCTTACTTGTACCCACTCCCACCACTTCTTTTTAGCAATGAACTAAATAGTGCCAAGTCCTATGTGAGACTTTTCTCATGTGCCAAGCCATTTATTTGATCATAAATGTAACAATAAGCAGATTATCTCCCTACTTAAGAACTAGATGAATAAATGGAGTCCTGAAGGCTAATAAATCAAGCATGACTAATAAACAGTCAAAAAGCACTTTACATGGTGTTTATTGATGAAAGAGCAAAAGTGATATTTCATGCAGGTCTGTCATTAAACTCACTTTAGTCTTCCTCTGTCACAACATGATGTCTTCTTAGGATCTTAATGCAAGTTGGGAAAAAAATACACTGTTGAAGCACTCAAAGTGCAGGAAGATAAAAAACCAATGAGCATACCCCCTCAGAGAAAAAAAAATCATTTTTTTTTCTTGATGGTAGCAACCAAAAATTAGCAAAGCAAATGTAACTGGGAACTTCATCAGGCAGTACAAGATGAAGAGATAAAGATTTTAGATCAAAAGTGCTTGTAGGGGTACCTGGTTGGCACAGTCGGTAGAGCATGTGATCTTGACCTTGGAGTGGTGAGTTGGAGCCCTACCTTGGTGTTAGAATTTACTTAAAAAAATAAAAACAACCACTTGGAGATAAATGTGTGATATGTGAGCTTAGGCCAAGTTACTTAACTGGTCTCCTTTTCTTGATCTGCAAAATAAGGTGAAGCCCCAGTAATAAAATCTACTCAATTGTTGTCACGAAGATCCAGTGTGGGTAGAGTAAGCCCATAGCAGAGAGCCTAACCCATCACGCACTCAAAACTAGGGGCCTTCCTGAAGTTTTACACACACACGGAGTCAAGGCCTGATGATCCTTAGGCTGTATTAAAAAGTCACAAGAACTTAGAAGTTTTCCTTTTTAAGACATTTATCCCCATGTCCAGCCTAGTGTTAACATTTTGTACGTATTACTGTGTCTTATAGAACAAATTTAAACACCATTTAATGCTATACATTTTTGCTCCAGAATACTTTGGAATATCACCAGATTGACCATTTTTGATAAAAAAACAACAACAACAAAACAAACTAAATTAAAAACAAAAACAAAGAAACAGGAAAAAAATCCCTGCAGGAATGGATCAAGAAATGACAAAAGTAAATTTCCAGAGATGGCCAAAGGCTTGGAACCATCATTTGAAATTAGTATGCCATATATATTTATATAAAATAATAATTTTATATATAAAATACTAAAGCTATCTTAAACTTATAGATTACAATATTATAAAAAATATGTAGCAATTTATACCCTGTTACCTGAAGGTTATAGGTTCACCATCTGGTCCTTCTTAAACTTCTTGCATTAAACAATTGGGAAAAGAATGCAATGAAATGCTGAACACCATTTTCACATAACCTTTTGTCCCATAGTTCCTCACCTTTTTTCCTTGTCTCTGAGCAATGACGTGCAGTTTATATGTTTAAATGTGAGAGGACTCTATTGGTATCATTTCAAGCCAGTCAAATTGACAGATAGACTAAATTTCTTAATTTACTCTTACATGGTCTGGAGGTGGTAGATAAGAATTTATTTTTTATTTTTATTTTTTAAAGATTTTATTTATTTATTCATGAGAGACACAGAGAGAGGCAGAGACACAGGCAGAGGGAGAAACTGGCTCCCTGCAGGGCCCAAGATCATGCCCTGGGCCAAAGGCTCTACTGCTGAGCCACCCAGGAGTCCCAAGAATTTATTTTAAAAATAAAGACAGTTTTTACTCCATTTATTTGTTTTTTGACCCAAACACACTAAAGCTATTGACTTCAAAAACATAGTTTCCTTATGGGTGCTGATTATGTAGCTAATACAGCTTTAACTGTGGGTCTAGGTGGGGGGGCAGAGCATCAATAGAATATTCTTAAAGATATGTGTTTTTAATTAGAAAATCAGTAGAGAATGAACATATGCTGTGTATTATGTGTCTTCGATTTAGTGTTCTTTCCTTTTTTCTTTCGTTTTTCATATTTTGTTTTACACAGCACTTAAAATATTGGAAAGAGGAAAATTAAAGAAAACCACAGTTTTCATTTTAGGTTCAAACAAACAGGAAACACTGCATTGTTTACTCTGTATATAAACTGATATATAGTTTGGAAGAAATACACAATAGGAAGCAAAAGGAAGACATAGAAGAGGTATACAAAATTGAGTTGTCCTTGAATCCATCGCATCACTATTATTCCTCTAAATTATGCCATGCATTTTGGGTAGCAGCTATATCTCTTTGAATTTAAATTTGAAAAGGCCTGCATTATTTTTAGCAACTTTCCTTTCTTTCAGGTGCCCCAGGAATCATTGGTTCAGTGTGGTATGCGGTTGATGTTTATGTGGAACGTTCTTCTTTGGTTTTGCACAATATATTTCTTGGCATCCAATATAAATTTGGTTGGTCTTGTTGGCTTGGAATGGCTGGGTCTCTGGGTTGCTTTTTGGCTGGTGCCGTCCTGACATGCTGCTTATACCTCTTCAAAGGTAAGAACAAAATAAAATAGCATACTTCCTTGTCTCCTGTAACAATCTTCCCAGCCTGCTGGAAACATCTTACTAGCAAAAATAATGTTGCATACTTGATCCCTACCTATTAAATAAATGACACATTAAAAATTTCTGTTGTTCAAGAACAACTGATTTGCAATATTTAAGCCTTATTACCTTGTTAGTGTTATATTGGGAGAAAAAACAAACAAACAAACCCACAGTTATACCTCTATCCATTCTAAATATATAATGATGATTTCAATGTGTTCATGATTTCATATATATATATATATGAATATATATATATATCTTCATTCAATCTACTAAATTTGTACCTAGAGTTAAATATATAGACTGAAATCCAAGTCAAATATTTGTTGTTAAAAATGTAATGTGTAATTATTGGGTTTTTAAAAATATAACTTAAAAAGCAAGAGAATCCATCTCTTCATTAGAAAGAAAAGAAGAAAAGGAAAGAAAGGAAGGAAGGAACAAAGGGATGAAGGAAAAGAGATACAAAGAAATCATAAGGGAAATAATAGGAAATTACCTAAGTTTTCAATCTAAATATAACTTTCGAGTTGAAAATCTCAGATTTTCTTCTAGGGTTCTCTTAGAAGATTCCTTCTTAGAATATTTATATTCTTGCCTCTTTATGAGAAGAATGTGTAAAATGACATTTTCTACCCAAAGTTTGCTGAGTCTTAATTATTTTTATATCACTACATTTATCTCTTTCCAACAGATGTTGGACCTGAGAGGAATTATCCATATTCCATGAGGAAAGCCTATTCAACAGCAGCTGCTTCCATGGCCAAGTCATACGCGGCCCCTCGGACAGAGACCGCCAAAATGTATGCTGTGGACACGAGGGTGTGAAGTGCCACTAGTCAGTCTGTGTGTATGTTACTGAAATCAGCAATCAATGCTCAAATGCTTGGGTTAATCCAGGAACATTTATTTAGACCTCATGTTTGTTCACCTAAATTAATTGCTCAGCTTAATCAAGAAGTTTGATTCTGGTATCACTGCTACTTTTCTGTTATTGTTATATTTCCCCCTCCTTTCTACCCTCCTGTTGCACATGCCCACACACACTTTTCCTGTATTTTCAGATAAGATTGCTAGGATATACCAATGTTTGTTTGTGATTTCTATACTGCCCTTAGAGATTGTGACATGGTGATATTCAAGTAAAATGACACTTTAAGACTAGAAAGCAACCTTTGAAAGAGGCCAGAGATTCGAATCTTTAAAGGAATTGACAGTCTCTTAGCTCCTTCGCTGGCTTTTTGATTCATTCTTTGTGTTCTCATTCGAGTGAGTTATTTGCTAACTTGGAAAAAGATGATTCTTCCAAATTTAAACTGGCATATCAAACCCTACCATTACTCTGACTCTATTAAAATAGGAAAAAAAATAAAATAACAGTTTTATATACCAGCCACTGGTGGAACCTAAAGATAAGAAGTTTCTTCCCCTCCACACTTGGAATGTCAAAAGCCACTGCTAAATTAACACCAGAGCAGTGGTGGCTTTCTTTCTCATTAACAACATAAGAGATCTGTGTATTATTTTATCATTGCTGTAAACTTGTCTATATATTGCCAAATTGTTAGACCTCTGCGGCAATAGCTAAACCAGGAAGTTCATTCAATTCATTTATTGATTGGACATTCAAAAATGTTTCAAGAATGCACCATATTAGAATTCATTGATTCAGGTGTCCTCACACCACTGTATCCTCAGCACCCAGCAAAATATCTGACAGATGTTAACGTTTGACGAATAGTTTTTGATTGGAAGAAATAAAGGCTCACAACTCTTTACTGAAAATAGGATCAATTTTTCTCATAAAATGTGTACTTTTTAGAAAAAATAGAACTATATGTTTAATTATACACTTAAAAAATCAGTGAATGATTGCTAATGGAGATTTTAGTCATATTCATAATGTAATCATCTTAAATTTTTAAATGATAGGGTTTTTTAAAAGTTACATAATTTAATCTCGGGTTTTCTGATTTCTTGTAAATCACATGAATAGCATAAATACTCCTGCAGTACCTTAACAGACTATCCACTGAACTAGAAATTAGTTCTTTGGAAAATAGAGATTTAGTTGTGACTTTCCAAAGACCCCCAAAAGAAGTGTTTTAAAATTAGAGTTAAAATCATGTGAAAATGAGATGAGGAAAGCCTAATATGTGTATTTATTTTGTTGAGAATGGTGTTCATGACTTCACATGGTATCTGTCTACCAGTATTCTCAGGAGAAATTCTAATCGGATCTTAGAATTAAAAGTAATTGATTCACTTTTATTTCATGGATATTACTAACCATGTAATTGATATTTAAAAAATTATTTGTAGATCATGTTTACTTGTTATACTGGTATCATTTTATGTAGCTTAAAACCTCTTTTGTATTGTTCTTTTTTCACAACCTTGGCTTTTAACATTTTTAGTTCCACTTTTATGATATGTTGTCTGTTATATTTTATATATTCTAATAAGTCTCTTGAAATTCTTGGGAAAAGCAGGGTAAAATTAATGAAATAACTCACTAGATTTTAGAGATATAAATTTTCCTTCCTTTAAGACTTCTTTTGTATGAGGAAATATTTCAGAGGATTCTGGTGATAACTGACATCGTGAATGTTTTGAAATTTTTCTCAATAAAAATGTTCCGTATATCCTGGGAGATATGTTAAATTTTTAAAAAAATTTCTTTGGGAATGTTTATTTCTCATTCACTATTATTTAATGAAGCCTCCCAAAATAAAGCATAACAAAAAATACATTTTGTATAGCAACTAGTGACAACAAAAGGAATATTAAATAGTGAAGAAGTAATAATTGGCATGATGGCAACTCAACATGCCCAGAAAGAAGAATTAAGGTACGCCCAAGGTATACACACAAGATTACTAGGTTGAAATATTGAAATAGCTCACTAAATTCTGGATGCTAAAATTTGATCATATCCTGTTACTTGCAACAAGAAAAAATAAAATGTAAAAAATTACAATTTTCTTTGTTTCTCTTCATTAACTCTTACTTTCCAATATCATGTTTTTAATTGAAATTAGACTTTTATTGCTATAGATGTTTTATATGTGCATTGTAGAAAGTTGAAGAACAAAAATAATTAAAAAGGTATCTTCCATATTTTACAGTAAGGCGCCATGTTCTCTCTATCAAGAGCATCATTATTCCTAAAACCTCATTCAATATCTACATATCCTTCTAGATAATCTATACACATATATGCAAAGACACACATATGCATATATTTCTTTTTAAGAGATAATTTCACATACGTTGCTTTGTAAGCTACTTTTTTCCCTGTAATATCTCTGCCTTTTTGTAGCAAAAATTTTTCACTTATATCTAATTACCCATGTTGAAATTTCCCTAAGTATTTCAAAATGCACTAGACAGCTGGCTGGTCCAAACCAGAATCTGCATTTCTCTTTTTGTTATGCCCCTTAAATCTCTTTAATTCACTGACCCTGAAAAAAAATAAAACAAGGGTACAAGTTTTCTTTAATTTTATTCTACCTTTTGGATTTAGTTTGGTGATGTTATTTAGCTTGTTTCTCTATGCCTTGTATTTCCAGCAAATTGAAATTTAAATTTAGAGACTTGATGGGCTCAAATTAAAAAGTTTTTAGAACACACTATAGTGATGTGATAGCATATATGGAGACTTAATATCTCGTTGATTCAGCCTCAATTATGCTAAAATTGTTCACTGGATTAGGGTGATGGCAATCTAATCCATCCATTCTTCAGTTATATATATTTGTCCTTTAGTGACAAAAACAAGTGATTTTGGAAACTGTAGGAATATTCCATTCTCCATCAACCGTAATAATAATTTTAAAATAACACCTTTAACAATTGAGAATCCTTATCTGAATCAATAATTGGTTAGGGTTTCTAGAAGGATGATTTTCTAATTATATTTTATTTACAACTGCAGTAGAAATTTGTAAAATAAGCCTACCTCTCCTCACTTTAGTCTGTGTAGTTACCATAACCAATCTGCAGAAGAGGAAGATTTTCAACAAAAACAAGTGAGGAAAAAGAATTCTATACAAAGAACAATGTGCACAGAGGATAAAAAAAAGGCCACTGATGTGCTAAAAAAGAAACAGTTCCATGCTCTTAGAGCATAACTGGGAGGAGGAGGTTTTGATATTCACAAATTATTTTAAAATGAAAAATACAAAAAGATAACATTTCCCCCTCTTTCTAAGACAGGAAAGTCGAAGGGAAGATATTTGCTAAAAACTCAGTGCCATCATTAGATATACAACCCATATATAGAAGGTGCTAGTTTTATTTGGCCTGGTTTCCTTAATACAGTCAGCTTCTTTGAGGAATCATCTATGCAGCAAAGTCTTATTAAGACAGTTTTCACCCTCACAGATGTAATTCTGATTCCCAGTTAATCATCCCATCATGTCTTTTCCTTTACACTTTAATCTTCTTTCAAGTCAGTTGTTTACTTTTTTTGGTTTTGTTTCTTTGTTTCAACATTCTCATACTGGAAAGAATAGTTCCAATCTTATTTTAAGAAGATAAAATGAGGGATCCCTGGGTGGCGCAGCGGTTTAGCGCCTGCCTTTGGCCCAGGGCGTGATCCTGGAGACCCGGGATCGAGTCCCACGTCGGGCTCCTTGCATGGAGCCTGCTTCTCCCTCTGCCTGTGTCTCTGCCTCTCTCTCTCTCTCTCTCACTGTGTGCCTATCATAAATAAATAAAAAAATAAAAAAAAAAAAAAGAAGATAAAATGAGAATTAGGTAGAAAAATAACTCTTGGAGCAAGTTTTGCAGCTTTTGAGCTCAGAAGTAATTGTTCCCAAGTAAATAACATTAGCCCCTGATATGCAGCAATTAATTGAAAGCAATATATTGCACAATCTGATTTTGGTTACCCTGTTTCCATTAAAAAGAAACCTAGTCATTTGTCACTTAATGTTTTTATTGAAATAATTTTATTTGTTTAAAATAAAAAAGGATAAGGAAGAAAACAAATAAAAAACACAATTATTCCAACACCTAGAAGAGAGTTGACATAGAGATAATTATATATACATAAGATTTTTCCAAAATATAATGGTACAGAAATATAAATATTAATGTCCCTCTTACCCACCTCCATGGACCTCCCTTACAGTCTCTCTTCTAAGAGATGCACTTCTCATTATTTATGAAATCCTTTCAAACAAGCAAACAAAAAATTACAATTTATGGTGTGTATAGATCCTTTGAAAATGTATACACCATACTGTTACTCAATATTTTCCCTTTAAAAATAAAATCAATATTTAAATATATTTATTGGCATTTTTCCATATCACCTCATTAATTTCAATGGCTGCGTAGTTCATTGTACATATGAACCATTATTATATGAACTATTATTATCTAATTTGTCCCTTTCAACATCTTCATTTTTGCAAAGTGGCAATGAGTACCCTTTTAAAAATACCTTTGTCTTCCTACAGGATTGTAACTATAGCATTACATTCTATATCTAAAAGTAGAAATGCTGACTTTATGTGAGTATATTTACATTTTTGTTTCCTATAGCCAAATTGGTCTCCAAAAAATATACAGATTTACACTTTCACCAGCAATATATAAAAATGCTTGTTTCCCTACAGTGTTGCCAATGCAAGATGTTAATCTTTAATATTGCTACCGATATTATGCGTAAAAAATGAGAGCATATTGGTTCCTTGGTTTGCATTTATTTAACAAAATTGATCACAGTTGATCAACTTTTTAAATAATCACCTATTATTGTTTGAATATTTCTGTAAATGGAAATTATAAGCTTTTTGGTTTTTAGTCCCATGTAATGGTGTATACCATATTTCAAAGCATATATTGGTGAGCTTATCAAAGTATATTAAACTTACTAACAAGGGTATTTGAAAAATTTCGGTGGTACATTAAATAGTTTTATTTTATAGCCATCTATTTTTATATGGATTTCAAAAAGCACATCTTCCACTACAACACAATTTGAAGTTTCCATTAAAAATACATTTATGTTTGAAACTGAGTTGGTTTAAAATACATTAAATAAAAATATAAGTACAAACACTTTTCAGGTAATCAAAAATGAGAAGGTCCAAATTTAGGGAATGAATTTTGGTATACAATGGTTTAATCAATGTAGTATTCTTAGAATAGAATATACTCTAAGCAAAAGATAAAACAGCTTATTAAACATACTTGCTCATACAAAGTAAAGCCACAAGCTAGGATTAGAGGTAGCAAATGAAGAATGGACATATGCTCTGTTATATAACAAAATTCAACCAAGGAAATTTGAAGATCTAATTGGCTTATTGAACAATTCACGGATCAGGAAGCACCAGATCCAGCAAGTAGAGAGGCACTTTGAGGAGTTGTACAAAATGGAAGCGTTTCATAAATGGAAGGGGTGGGCACAAGGAAGTTACTAGCAAAAGAAAAGGATGGGTCTTTGAGGAGGCTGTTTGCATGGTGTCATCATGCTAATTACCTCATCTTTCTTTGGGGGCTGGAGAGGACCCAGATGTGATGGAAAAAAATAGCTCATGACTGACCCATTGAGGATGCATTTCAGAGGAGGTTGAAACTGTAATTAGATTGGGCATTAAGCCCCTAGTTTGGAAACCTCTGTGTAAGCCCCAGCTTAGGAACCTCTGTCAACCACCGTATTGGGCCTGCGGTTTTTCAACATATAGGATATTTCCAGAGCCAAAAAATAAGAAAATAATATTTATTATTTTGGCTATTTAAAGCAAATCTCAGCGATCATATTATTCCACTCATAAATAATTCATTATATACGCATAACAGATAAAGACTTTTTTAAACAACATAACTACAATACTATTATCATTAGTCAACAACATCAACAATTAACAACTCCTTAGCATCAAATTCGTCAAGATATTTTTTGTTGTGACTGTCTAAAAAATATTTTTTGATTGGGTCCAATTCCAAACCCAAAATTGTTCACACTTTGCTGTTGATATAACTCAAATAAAATACTGTGATTTTAATTTCTGTAATCTCCACTTGTATCAAGGTTTAGGAAACTTTTTCTTTTAAGATTTTTAAAATTTATTCATGAGAGAGAGGCAGAGACACAGGCAGAGGGAGAAGCAGGCTCCATGCAGGGAGCCCGATGTGGGACTTGATCCCAGGACTCCAGGATCATGCCCTGGGCCAAAGGCAGGCAGCAAACCGCTGAGCCACCCAGGGATCCCAAAGTTTAGGAGATTTTTGAAAAATGTTAGTACCTTAAGTTTTCCTTTGCAAAACCTTGGCTGCTTCCACAAAACTGACAGCTTAAATTTTTGTTGCTAATATTTAGCAGGAGGAAAAAGAAAAACCAGAGTCAAAAAGGAAATTGGAAGTTTGAAAGAAGAATGCTTTTGTGATGCAGGCTTTACTTCATATGTATAAAGGGACATGAAGCCAAATAAACCTGGTTTTAGAATTATCTTCCTGAGTTTGCTGGATGTGGAAGAAAAACTGAGGGTTGTTGAAATCATCAAATTGCTCTACTGTTTTTAAAATTACTTTATTATATGCAAAACTAAGCCTACATAACCCAGAGAGCTACAGGGAAGGAGTTGAGATATGTTTTATTTGCAAAACGTAGTTTCTCTCTTACTAAATTACTACAAACACTATACCATGCCTTTCTTTTCTAAAGCTATTGGATGGAAAGTATTGGTTAGAAGAGGAAATCAGAGGTAACTTTATTTTATTAGAGAAGGAAAAGCTTTGAGATTAGTAAATAAAAAGGAAACAAGCTAATGTGGTTAATCTAGCAGAAATGGAAGCAGTCAGCAAACCTTGTCAGAAACAAAGATGAGGGGAAACTTAGAAAAAAAAATGTGTTATTGGAGAATAAAAATCAGAAGCTAGAAACATAATGGAGGCTTAATCACATGGAATTAATGTTCCATTAATGGCTGTTCTGAGCATATGTC